AATTGCTTTTTTCTCCCCCCCCCCCCCCCCGTCATACTTGAGTTATTTCTATCATCTATTAATCAAGGATCGTTCTCGATCACTTTTTTCAAATTTGCTTCCGAAGTAGTTGAGGCCACTTGGTGGACACTATTTTTAATTGTTGAGACTGCTATACAACTTACTAAAGTACAATATTTTTACCTTTTTCAATACATTCCTTGGTCTCAAAGTCTCATACGACTAAAAATCGTATTTACTATTTAATCACACCATCTGAATTTCTCATATCTAAAACCACATAATTGAGAAAAATTCGAACACAGCTATTATTCAGTATCATCATCTTATTCACTTAAAAACATATCTCGACATTTTCATCCATGTTAAAATAATACTTGTACCTTCGAATAAATCACTCACTCTCGTTTAACAGCACTGCTAGCACATTGTGAAAACAAAAACGAAATAATATTACTGAAATGTAATTCGAAGAACGAGAATTACTTCAATTGGATATCTCTGAGTATATATCTTTTTCTAGCCGAGTGGAGTAGTTAAATAACTAGATTAATTCTGATTTTAAATGTAATATAAAGTAAGAGCGAAATTAATACAATGGTAATGCGATGAAATAATCGAAAAAACAATAATATGCACTACTTGTCTAGACCAGCTGAAACGAGAGAGTCAATGAAACTGATTGAGCTCGTTGTCTACTGCTGATATAGCTTCGAAAGGTACCAGTGTCATGAAGAGAAATTAGAAAGATGTAATAAGTTAATGCTGTTGAAATATTATAGGTTCAGAGTAACAAATGACGCCATCAATATATTTCACTGACTGTCTATTTGTTGTTTCGTTCAACAGATCTCACCTGTTGATTATGCAAATATTTCCAGTATATGCTGCACTCTATTGAATTAAGTAAACCTTGATATTAGTCGAAATAGTATAAGACTCAAGACTTTTATTACAACACAAATGTGATACAAATATTGAATTCATGCTTATTTATGCCTAATACCAGCACAGTAGAAATGCAAACATGAGTACAATATGATCGCTTTTAGTATACATTGATACAGTAGGAGAATACATAAATTCTACTAAAGGTATTAAAACGTGAATGTTTAAATGTTTTGTCGAAGTTTCATTATGCAGTCGAATACAAAAAGCATTAAATGAGACGAAAACGTTGAACACGATTATTTGTCGTATCACTGAGGAATAGATGAGTTTCATCTGCATCAATCGCGAGACCAATTGGACTGTTCAATAGAGATGGACTGCTACCAGATAATCCATTTGGGTCTCCAGCAATTGTGCTTCCAGTGCTTGCTCCAACTGCCCAACGTTGAATTCGATTATTAGAAGTGTCACTAACGTAGACGGCACCATTCTTACTCGACACAACTACCGCACGAGGTCCGTTCAACTGATTAGATGCAATACCGGCTCCATTACCACCTGCAACTGTGATACCTGATGCGTTCGCTATATTGCCAATGCTTGACATATTCCATAACTGAACTCGATTATTCCCATAGTCGGCTATGTATAGATACGTGCCGGTAGTATCAAGATAAATATGGCGCGGAGTAGATAATAATCCTGCACTAGAACCCGATGTACCATTACCAGCAACAACGGTCAAATTTGTTGCATTTGGGGACCAGCGAACGATACGAGATGCTAAATATTCTGCCACATAAATATTGCCTTGACCATCTATTCGAATTTCGAGTATCGGACTTAGTCCGTTAGATACACTTCCAAAAACTGTGTAGCCTGTGGTTGCATTAGCTGGTCAGCACTGAACTCTCTGATTCGCGTTATCAGCAATGTATAGATCTTGAGTTCTATTATCAACATAGATACTACCACCTGGCACTCCTAACTGTGTTGATGCGGATCCCGCTATACCATTACCAGCTACGGTTTGTCCGATTTTCGACCCTAGTGAGTAACGCTGTACTCGAGCATTATTTGAGTCCGTCACGAAAAAATCATTGTTAGGTAAAACATATATTCCAACAGGATTGTTGAGTGCAATATTGTCATTTCCGGCCGTGGCATTTCCATAGCCAGCAACAGATTCACCTTGCAACACTGATAAGGCTGAAAGAAAGACGAAAGAAACAGATTGAATAAAAGAAACACATGATCTAACTTACGTCCACATTGGTAGAACTGTAAGCAAGTATAGTTAAGATCAGTTCGGCATTCATTTGTTGAATTACATGATGAACCAAGTGACTTTTGTCGTTGACACATCGAATCTTGAAAATAGGTTCCTGATGGACATTGAAAAGTGCCATTGATGCAGATCAAAAACTATTATCCTTGTTTTGATAACAAGGTTGTCCATAATCTGTGAACATATCCGACGCAAGTTGGACGGTACCTACAAGAGAATTTGGTGACGACGGCGAATAAATTACGTTACCAGTAGTCATATCACTTGCGAATAGTTGGCATTGCAATATTGATGAATCGAACGCGAAAGTACGACATTGAGGAATTGTGAGACTACAGAACATCGTACATTGAACTGATGATGAACTATTGAACATTATATTCGTATTGAGTAGATCACTTGCTTCCTGCTGTGTATAAAGTACGCTCTTACCAACCAGAGAAAATGTCATGAAAATAATATTTGCATTGATGGAAGCGACCAAAGTAACTATGAGCACATAGTTTAGTGTCATTTGTTTTATGTTCATCAGGTTGATATAGAAGAGATTCTTTGATTTATCTAAAATGAGAAATAATGCGAGTTTGAATTCATTCTCAAATATGATATATTGAAAATAAATTGATTTTAGAGAAAAACATTTTAATGGTCTATGACTTTCAGCTTTACGTGTAATCAAAATCACTATGATAATGATATCGTATATAAACGTGAAATGCTGAGTGAATTCAAATGATTTTCTTGGATACTGATTTATATTTGGGACTGTTATTTACAAATATTAGCAGATTTTCTAATAGTGATCCGGCATTCGATGCTGTGTTAGCAAAGAAAATAATATTTTCTCTATTTGCGAATCTAGTTACAAAGTCCGGAACGTGTCTGAAAATATAAGTCTCAACTGTACACCCAGAAACGATATTTGAAATTTCTTTGAAAATCTTTTTAATTTTATTTCGAGCTTTCGACAATTTCCAATTGTCATCATCAGAAAATAGTAACACAAAAAACAAGTGGAACTACATATATCAATACATAAAAGGAATGTACATGTGATCTTTTAGGTATTGATACATATAGTTTCACTTGTTTTTTGTGTTACTATTTCCTGATGATGACAATTGGAAATTGTCGAAAGCTCGAAATAAAATTTAAAAAGTTTTCAAGGAAATTTGAAATATGATCGTCGTTGCAATGTTATACTCATTCATTACATATTTATTTCCACCTGCACTTTCACAAAAAACAGAGAAATGACATATCATTTATTTAAGTGGTATCTAATCATTTTTCACTGCAACCAATTTGCTTGCTTCACAATGAGTTTTTCTTGTGAACCATCAAGTACCTTTTAGCATATCATCTAGGCCCAAAAGAAAATTTGTTCTTCAAAAAGTAGTTTTAAAATATGATACATTATTTCATCTAGAGTGAATTTATTTTCATGAAACATGCTAATTAGAACTTATTCTGAGGAGATGTTTAATTTTTCACCGGTCTCAATTGAAAAAATAAAAATCCTGTAATAGCTCTTTTCAGTTCCCTATTAGCAAGAGGGTGGATGGTGTGTGGGTGTGGGATGTGTTGAATCTCCGCAAAACACCCACACCCACACTAGATAATTAGTTTTACGTTGAAAGATGAATATTTTTATCAAAAGCTTATATTTCGTTTTAGCACCGGAAACACTGAGTCAACAAGTTTCTGAGAAGATATTAATAAAATAAAGAAACTCATTAATAGATACTGAAAGTATAGAGTACGCTGTGACACCTCATATATTTTTCCGAAATAATTAGAGAAAAATGCGTAGTACTTTTTTCATTGAATTTCTTTATTTGGACGTCTCTGTCTATGGTGGTAGATGTTGTTGATGATTCAATACTTAATCTATGTTCGTCGATACAATTGCAAGTTTATATATTATCCTTTAACTGCCGAGATGGTCTTTGTGTGTCTCAGTAGTATATGAGTATGCGACATATATTTTTGGTTTTCTCCAGAAGTTTTCACGCTGAGCCGAGCAATCAAATAGCTTTATCTGATCGGACGATTGCCTCAAATAATGTCAACGGAATGAATCCATCGAAAAAAGAACAATGTGTCCTGCTTCTCTAGGCCATGTAACTATGTTGAACTTTCTGTAAAAGAAAACAGAAAACGCAACGGCAGAAGAAGTTTAGATTCATTGATAACAAAAACCTACAGACATCAGTGTTAAATAACAATTATTTTCAAAGAAAGAAATGCATTGATGAATTGCAATTCAGTGCGTTGCAGTTGGTTGAAAAAACGCAACACAATGGTGCAACATCATTACAAGTGGTTTTGGATAAAAATTGTAAGATTTTGTTTTTTGATGTTCTGCTTTATTGACAAAATGACGCATTTCTTATATGATGAGTCATTCGGAAGCCTGACTGATTCGCTTTCTGTTTGGGAAAAAATTCACAGACAGCGATACTGTTTAAATGTTAACTAAGATGTCTCATTCCATTTCATAATTTCTTTTTTATAATGTCTGAAATACATTCTGAACGGACGACTGATTTGTCAATTCTTTACGCAAATTTAAAATTACGATCAAATAGTCTAGAAAATGTCGTATTAATTAAGACGGGTTCTATGAATCCTATTCATCGTAGTCACGTATCGAATATGGTACGAACTAAAAAGTATTTAGAGCGAGCATGTAATTTCAATGTCATCGGAGGATATTTATCTCCAACTCATGATGAATATGTATATGGTAAGTTAAGTAATGAACTGATTAGTGGCGAACATCGTATTGAAATGTGTCGAAAAGCAATTGAAGAAGCTGGTCAACAACATTGGCTGAGTGTTGACATGGCTGAATGTATGGGTAAGTTGATGAATCTTTTGAATCTATGTATATGTATTCGTGAGATACAAAAAAAAGCAAACAAACTTCAATTTTTCATTCAAAATAATCAGTACTTTTGCTCATGAAGCTTGTAGTATCGTGCTTAATTTCGTTTTATTTATTATTGAAATAGTTCTTTTATGAAAAATTCTGATGAAATTCTTTTTTTTCTAGCTCCTGGATTCGTCCATCTAGTAAGTGTCGCTCATAGCCTTCAACAATTCATCAATCAACATCTAAATTTGCCGAAACCTGTTCGAGTAATTTATGTTGCTGGTCTGGATTTATTTAATCGTTGTTACGGTATGGGAACACTGAGAAAATCACCATTGGGTGGCGTTGCTGTTGTTTATCGTCTCGGTCAAAATAATAGTGTACTCAAGTCAACAAATGCAATGAATGATCCACGTGTATTTTATGTCTGCGATAATGACGATGAAATGGATACGTCCAGCTCCGAATCAGAAGATATTAGTTCAACGCTAATTCGAAAACGACTTAAAGACAATGAAAATTGTGATGATTTGACGTTTAAATCAGTTTTGGATCATATGAAAAAAGTGTCATCGAAAGATTGTTAACGAGTTCTTTTTTTAACGTAAACTTCGAATTCATGTCGGGTCGTGTCTATTTTTGTAAATTGCATCAATTTCGTCGATGTTTTGAAATAGATCACTGAATGTTTCAAAGCTACTTAAAATTAATAAATAACAAGAATGAATTTTCTTCAAAGTTTAACTGTGATGCATTACTTCACTGTACGAGAAAACCTCGCATATTAGATCAAAGTTCTGAAAACTAATGTTTTGTCCAGAAGAGTGAAAAAGAAAAGAAAAACTTCTCATGATAAGATCTGTTTTTTTTAGAAGAGGCAAATATAAAATTTAAAATGCCTTTGGATCACTATTGTTCTATCAATACCTATCATTGAATCTAAAAATTCGATACAAAATGTCACACAACATAAAGTTATGAAACCAATTTCTCTACAAATTAATATTTTTCTTCTCAGCTGGCAGCGTTTCAGACTAAATTAAATCTTTCGAATTCTAATTCGCAAAACTATTCATACATCTCGAATAGGGATACATCAAAACCAACCAAATTTTTGTATCGATTATATCCATATCAGGAAGCGCAAAAAACACTGGGTTTACCCGTCGAAGATTCGCAATCTTCATGTTCCAGCACTGGATATGATGTGTCTGTGCCGATATAAGCACTCGTTCTATCTTAATCAATGTACATAACGACTTTCTTCCTCATTGTCATGTGTATTCTCTCTTCCTCTTTGTCGTGTTCTTTCTCGTTCTCTCCGGTTGAGTGACGCGCCCCGGAGAAAGAAAAGTGTAACTATAAAAGGAGAAGGTTGATTGAAATAAAACAGTTCGATATCACGATAAAACATTCTTATCGTTACAGTGTCATCAAATTGATTTTGAGTCATTTTTTTCTCCACTGTCGAAATAATACTCGAATCAACTGTCTGATCACCAGCATATTTAAAGACATGAATTTTCTAGTTGAAATAATTCAGTTACAAACTCACGCTATTGTTATATATATTCAAAATGGTATTTTTATACGAAACAAATACAACTTCCCTACAGCAAGAACAAAATGAATGTAGCAATCAGTAAGTCAGAATCGATGTATTACAGATCAGATAATATGAACATTTATTGAATTTTAGATTCTACTCAAGAGTTGGCTTGATGCGAGACTTTATTTTCAGAAAAATATATCAAGTACTTATCGATTGGCCATCGGCAGATATTCGTACTGTTCCGAATGTGATGCATCAAATTCGTTGTGGTACTGATGAAAAAGACGCAAAGATCGAATATCAAATCAATTGGTTTATCGATTGCGCTGAAACTCATATTCATAATCATCGGAATTCCTTTGATACATTCTGTTTGGAAGGTGAATATGAAGAAAAAATTTGGGAGATCATCGATGAAAATGACGGTACAATTTCATATCAGTTCACTCGAAATCCAGATAATATACTAAGTTCGGCCGAGTCGGTGTCCGGTACTCTTCGTCATGTAGCCTCTCGCTATCATTTTCCAGGTAATAAAATGCATGTTAATACTCAACAATTTCATTCGGTCACTCCCATAATCGGTTCAGAAGAGCGGGTGTTAACGTTTTTAGTTAAAGAAAAGTATACGGTACCCGTTGACACATTCATTCTCAATTCTAAACCTTACGTTGATTCATTGGATGATGATATGCGACCGGCAACGAAAGATGAACGTCAAGATATGTATAATAAGCTAATTGAAGTTCTTACAAAAAACAATACATTGTACACTATCGAAAAACTTTCACTCGAACTCCAGTAATGAGATGAACTTTGTTCAACTTGATATTTAGGTTGAAGCAATTTTTTAAAAGCAATCTGAATATTCTCAGTATGAGTTTTACATGTTTTCGTTGAATTTTCTTTTTTTACATTACTTTTTTTAAATAAAATACATCGAATAATGATTGTTTTTTCTTTCTTTATATTGATATCGACAGTGAAAAATTTTTGTTTTTTTATTGTATTAACGGAAGAAAGTCTAAAGTAGCTACGGAACGCAGATTATGCCCGCTTTGTTTCCGTTTTTTATCCAAATATATATGTTTTATAAAATTTGAATCAAATATATTCGATTTGCACGTGAATTTGCTTCCGCATAACCCATGGCATCCAATGTAACTCAAGATTAAAATAATCATTTTATTTTATTCTATGATTTTGAACCAATATCACATCTGTTGTAGCAGTCTCCATACTTCTTAATTAAATTTGACCTTCCTGAAAATAATCTATAGAGTCAATGTCAGACGAATTTATTGGATATGAAAATGATTGTTCGAAAATCCAATGATGGTTTGTATTTGAAATCGTTCTTCGACTTTTGTTTTAAAGAGCAATTGATTGTTCACATCAAGTAACAATATGAATACAGACTCATATAGCGAAATTTGCATTTCCTAATAGATTCGTATCCACTGTTGCGTTATATTTGTTTTTAACTATTTGAATAAATAAGTTTATTCCAATAAGATCAAGAGTTTCACTCAAGCAAAACAAAACAATCGCCAGGAAATGATATTTTGTAAATTAAAATTAATTAATAGATTTCCATATAGATTTCATCTAATGAACAAGAATCTGAAGTTAAATCTTTGTTTTGCTATTGTGCTTGTATAGTTTAAATCCAATCAATAAAAGTGCAAATCAGTACATCTATGTACCTAAAGTTACGTTAAAGTACTCTAAAATATTCTCTTGTAATCTAAAATATGCATGATATGAAGTATCGTGCTGCGGTTGTGAGTTTCGCCCTAGGGATCTTATTTGCATACACATTGACAAAGTACTACATTAACATTCATAAATCATGTTTTATCATCATAAATGATTGGGAATAATGATACAATATTGTTTATTATCACAGATTTATATGAGTCAAGAACATAAGCTACAATACGAGTCTCGTATATTACGGGTACATGTGATATTTCTTTTGTATTAGACTATACTTCGTGTATAATCTTTCGAGTGTTTATGTAATCACGTTAAAAATGATGAATAATCATGTTTGACGTAGACAGCAACAAGTCCTACGTAAATCCAATTAATTTCATCACGATAGGTACTTTTTTGTAAATACTCATAAGTTGAGAATACGATGTTCTTATTTATCATTGTGGTTCTAAGTCAATACTACGCTGTTACTGGTAGATCTATTGTATTATACTAATTTATGCTGTGTATCTCTATGTTTTAAGGTAGTATTTGCCGTTGTCTTTCGAATGATTCAACATCTTGGCAACTACTTAATGATTCTATAAATGGATGTCTAGTTTTACCTCGTCCATCAGCGGCCTCGTGTACTCTGGATCAATTCAATATGGAGGCGTGTGCAATAGCGTATACTAACTGGATAAATTCAAAATGGCGTAGCGAACAATTGGGTGCTGTGCAATATTATAATTGTAAAAATACTTAATGTTCTATATACAATTTGAATTCTTCATGTCATCAAATTTCTGTGCCTGTAATTGCTGTTAATGCAACGTTGCCTGAATATGTTCAAGCAACGATAAAATTCGCTGCAAAATACAATCTTCGTTTAGTTATCAAAACAACAGGTCACGATATCCTTGGCCGATCGACAGCACCGGGATCATTTCTTTTACGGCTTCATTATATGAAGAACATGCCATTGATCCCGCAATATTCCTCTTGTGGTTCTGCTAATGTGACGAATGAAGTTCGTCTAGGTGCAGGTGTTCAGTGGGATGAAGTTTACAAATGATTTTCTAAATACAATTTGACAGCAATTAGTGGATCTTGTAACTCTGTAGGGGATACCGGTGGATTTTTACAAGGTGGTGGCCATAGTCTATTGCCATTGTGGAAAGGTTTGGATGTTGATCAAGTACTCGAATATGGCGTGGTTACTGCGGATGGACAGCGTAAAATTGTAAGCCCATGCCAAAATAGTGACTTGTTCTATGCATTGAGTGGTGGAGCTGGTGGTACACATGATGTTGTACTTTCTGTTGTTTTGAGAACATTCTCATCGCCCTATATCATCAGTATTCTACTTAGTATAGAAGCATCTAATGAGACTCGGTATGTTACATTGATTCGAGATTTTGTTCCATTTTTACCAAAATTAGCAGATGATGGCTGTGCTGGATATATATCTATGGGAGATCACAAGATTTCTATGAAATATATTTGGCCCAATGGAGAACTCAACATTGGAAACGCAACATTCTCCGAATTTCAGAATAACAATACAGATTTAGTTTTTTCAGCAAAGACTACAGCGTTCATACCATCGTTCTATGAGGCATACAAGCTTGCATTGACTCCATCTGATCCTAATAGATATAATATGCTACTTGGATCACGTCTTATTCCTGACACAGTCGTTCGCTATCGACCGGATGATCAAGCAAAATTATTTTTACAAATGAAACATATAAGCACAAAAGCAACAAGTCTATTAATAAGTCATGTAGTCTATGGTCAGGATTGGGCAGACAACACCTCTATGGAAACTCAAAAATTGATTGCTGCAGATATTACTTCTCGTATACAAATCTTAGATACTCTATCAAATAATGCACTATTTGATTCCGATTTGAATGAAGCCGATCCAAATGAACCTAATTGGAAGCAGAGATATTTTGGTTCGCAAGCTATGTATGATCGACTCAAGTCCATCAAACAAGTAGTTGATCCACAAGGCCTATTTATATGCAAACACTGGGTCGGCAGTGACGATTGGACATCGGATCTCAATTGCCCGATTTTGTCGATTTCAATCAAACTCAGTTTAACATGGTCATTCATTTTAATGGAATTCTTTATTTTAAAAACATCTGTATAAACCAATTAACTCTAAATTGATGCTTCTTTCTACTTCGCTTTCACCCCCTCGCTCATAACAAGCAATCCAACACTGAAATTTGTTTAAGTACGATCAAAATCAAGCAATAAATACCGTATTGAATATTATTCGATAATCTATAAAACAGTTGTTCAATGCTGTTTTCTCTCAGCATTATTAATTCTTGATGTTTGTTGGCAAGATATTCTTTTCAATGCAACAAAACGAAATAATACTATTTACACGTATTGCAGTGTTGCCAGAAGGGAAAAGGAAGTGCATACGCCAATTTTCTGTCGTTCGACAAATTGGTAATGTTTCTTTTACCCAGTTGTTATTTAATTAAAAAAATGAAATGTCAAGTTCTGTTTCTTCTTTCTAGTAATAATTTATAGATTTAGTCGATTAATTAACTTGGACATTTCAAAGTGCACATATATTCATAAGAAAAAAAGAGTTCGTTGTATTACTCATATTTTTACAGAACGAACATATCAATAAAAAAACATTAGAGGGAAACTTAGACCACTTTGATTCTTTTCTTTTCTGTGCAAATATTTACTGGGAAAAAAATCTGCAGAAGAAAAGAAAGTCTTGCAATCAAACGACAATATTCGGTTGCAGAGGTAAGAAAGATATTTTTACTTTAGAGATTATATATATTTGAATTCATTTTTTCTTACGCTACTAGGCCTTAATCTATAGTAATATATTTTTTGAATAAACAGAGCCAGTTTAGTTGAGGAATAAGTGAGATTAATGAAAGAACCTATAATGCATACTCAGTACTGGAATTATGCTATTAAGAAATCTTGATGATCATTTGTTTTAAAATTAAAATAATTTTTTTGAAAGAATTAATACACTAATCGATCATCTTCTCGAGAAGTTTGTCATGCAAGGCAGTAACAAGATTATTCAATATTCGTACCGCTCATCGATAGAATGATGACAAAAAGGATTCTATGAACTTTGGTCGAAAGTTGAGAGAATCGCGCTCCATCTCTGTTTTATTCATTATCTTAATAGTAGTCACTATAAGCGTAATATTAACCAGATGCTTTTTATGACTATTTTACATGAATCTTAATAGCGTTTGAAAACTTCAATAGCAAAGCTTGCATTTTTACAAGTATAAAAAGTGAGTATTTGTGTTTAATAAATCGATACGATCACGAATAATAGAAAGCCTATAGAGAGAAACTATAGACTGAATACTTCACAATACTCTTGTACTCATGAAACATATCTAACAATAGAACCCGGAAATCATAAACTGTAAAACAATTAACTCAAAAGATTTAGCATACCTAGTTCGAACTTCGAATTAGATGTAATAAAATTCTCGTTGGACCAAATTCATTAATGAAACCCAATAACATTACATAGAACATTTGCACTGAAGCTAAAACTACTTAGAAAAAAGATTGCCAAACTCTTCTGGCAACGTTCGTGTCTAGTCTAATGTTTAATTATTGTGAAGTAGCTCGCAAAAATATACAATGCTATAGATATAAATATCGCATGTAAAAATGTTGTCATCTATCAACTTCAATTATCGATAGATTTCATACAATACAAATAAAATAAATGCTTGAAAATCTCCTACATATATTTTCTACTTTTATTTTATTTATTTTAAGAACTTAAAAGTTGAACATAAACTGACATGCTTTCTGGTGCAATCCAAGAACAAATACTTGAACGATACGCTGATGTCAGGAATTCACAAGCAAGTTTACGTGAACGTATACAAGATTTTGAAGAGAAACCGTTGGTTTCACTTGAAGCAGCGATTGTACCTCTCATCAATGTTATACAAGATATTGAAGACATGGTTGCAATAGTCAGAGCCGATTGTCAGACTTCCATAGGTAGCCTATCTTCTGATGAAGCTGCTTCAATAAAACTTTATACTCTGGAGTGGCCGATTCAACCATCGTTTTACAATAGTTTGAACGAAATCCTTCGATCAGGAACTAGAGAAGCGATAGAACCTTGGTTTCTTTATCTTAGACTTTTCACTGTTGCTCTCTCAAAGCTTCCGTCGAATGTGGGTCAAACTGTTTATCGTGGAGTCAAACTGGATATAAGTGGAGAATATATGGAAGATAAAACTGATGTATGCTGGCCATTTTCGTCGTGTTCATTATCTCTTAATGTTATTGAAAAATTTCTTGGTCAATCAGGTCCTCGAACTCTATTCATTATTGAATGTGATAGCGGGAAACGTATTAAACAATATTCGATGTATACTGCAGAAGACGAAGTTTTGCTTACTGTTGGTACATATTTCAAAGTTGTTTCGAATTCTGATCAAAAAAATGGACTCCATATTATAAAACTTAAGGAGATCCAACCACCAGCATCATTATCGTTTCAACAACAAATATTGATGAATCTATTGGGGAAATGCTTGATGTGTTCCCAAGTAGACTTAAGTGAGCATCAATTGCAGGATGAAGACATCGAGTTCGTCGTCAACGAAGCCATTACCCATAAACGATGTACAGAGCTTCATTTACAACGTAATATAATCAAACCAAAGGGTGTGTCGACCATAGCATTAGCATTGAAAAGCAATACTACATTACAGAAACTTTGGTTAGATAATAATTGTGTGTCTGACATAGGCGTTGGTGCTTTGGGAAAGATTCTTTCTTGCAACCACTCGAGTCTTACAATGCTCGGCTTGAATGCGAACGCGATTACTGATGAAGGTGCAAAATGTCTTGCTAATATGCTCAAAACCAATACAAAACTGATTTTTCTCAGATTATCAAACAATGCAATTAGTGATCAAGGAGTTCAACTCTTGGCCGATGCACTCTCACATCATAATAAAACTCTCGAATCGATTGATATTTCGTCGAACAAATTTGTGACGGATCGAAGTATCAATTGTATAGCTCGGATGCTTAAGACGAATGAATCATTGTCATCACTCAATATATCTCATTGTAGTTTATCCGAAAATGCGAAACAAAACTTTCGAGTTTTGACGCAGTCAAATGGTGGTTTTGTACTGTTCATATAACTAAAAAAAAGTAGAAAGGACCATTATATTATCGATTTTAGTGAAATCTCTTTAAAGGTCGACTGTTTTCCAATGGATTTTACTCATTTCTGCCAAGGAAATTTATTCATTTTTTTGCTGGCGATCAATAGGTCACACTAAATTAAATAGAGTTTAAAACAGAGGGTGGCACACTTCATAGTTAATGAGTTCTTTACTAGCTTAATAGCGCCTATTTTTGCTTAGCCTGTTGCTTATATTGAATGATGACTTCATTCTAAAGCAGAATACTGTACGGCGGGAAAATCTCGTTTGAAAATTTTCTGAGATGTTCATTCATCATCTATTCGATGTATAAAGATCAGCGCTAACAAATGTTACTTGCAAATATATATCACTATATAAAAATGAAAACATCTAACTAGGAATCTCGATAGGACTTAAACTAACGATTAGAAACAATATACAAAACAAATTCTGTCAAACGCATAACAGACATTTTGTGAGTCAATTTTAATATCGAATACGTAACTTAAACGAGAAGTATGAGACATATGAATAAATATCGGCAGTCATAGAATCGGTTTATCAGTGTACCGAGAAGAAAAATCATCTAAAACTACTCTTTTCATAGTAAACTACATGTAAAATATATAAGATGGCGTTTTCGTAAAATTTTCCTAAGAATTCTCCTTAAAAATAAGTCCATCCCACTCACAAGTCCTGACTCAATTTTATTTAAAACTAAAGAAACAAGGCGTAGTTATCTTTGATATCAGTGGATGTGATAATGAAAGTTTTCTCTTCGAGTTTCAGATGCTATGTTTGAAGCTTATTCGATAAATAATTGATTTTCTTCATAAAGTATAAAATCAATATTAAGTAACGATTTGTTGTTATTATTAAATATTTTTAATTTTAAATACACCTTCGAAGTAGTCAAAACGAGTACTCAATGTTTAAATGTGACGGACATTAGCAAGGCTGTCAAAAATTTCCGATTAACTACTAGCTTACGTCAAAATAACTCAAATTTCACTTTCTATTGTCAATATCAAGGATTACTATACTTTCAGATCTTTGCCATAACAATTGTTTATTTATAATTCTAATTTTTATATTATTGATAGATAAAAAAATTGATGCCGATAGAATGCCATAACAATTTGTGACTTAATAACGGCTTACAAAAACATGATAGTAAAAATCATGTTGTCACTTGCTTCAAAGGAAAGAACGTACTATTGACTCAGCTTTTCATCTATAATCAAGAGAAATAAATATAGAAACAATGTTGCAAATTAAGTGTACAGGTATCCACCAATTATTTAATTCAAATTTCGAACAAATAAAAAATGTGGTGGAGAAAAAAGAAAAAACATCTAAGTTTGCGTATTAAAGCAAACATTACTTCGTGTTATTAGACACCCGATACACGTCTTTATTAGTCGTCTTCTCGAAATTATTTATTCAGTTTCTTTAGATTGACACGTCCCAGATCGTGGTAGTACGGCGGGAAACGACCGGAAAACACGGGAAATCGCTGGAAGGTGGAAGCAGTATTCCGGTCGGAAATTCTCGGATCTTTTTTCAGTGGATTCCGGTCAACTTCCTGTGCTGTCCGGCAGAAACTGACAGTACATCATCGGGAAAAACTCCGAAATTTGTCCGACGGGAATACTGATTCCAGGTTCCAACGACTTCCCCTGTTTTCCTGTGGAATACGGTGATTTTTTCGCCTTTTTCCGGCCAGTTCCTACAATATCCGGTGACCGGAACGATCGACCTGGATATCTAGTATTCTCTTTCTTATGCGCCATAGCAGTGTTATAACAAATGAAAAACTAAAGTAATTGATGAAATGTAAATATTTTACATAATTGGTCAAGTGCTTTTCGATCTAATCCATAAATCAATTAATGAAAGTCTCATGTAAGACTAAACTATGGTTATAAAAATTTTGAATACTAACTGTTAGATTTCAAGAAGGATTGATGTATCAATTTACATATTAGTAGTTTGACTTGTCACTTGATGAATTCATAATTTTTGTGTATTGATAGGGAAAAAAACGACTTAGGCTCATTTAGCTTATGCAAAAAAAAACTACAAGAGAGAAAATGTATGCATCGTTTTTATGCTGAAGACATGATGAAAGTAACAAAAATAGCATTAAAAGCAACAAGTCATTTTATTTTATTTTTTCTATGCATAAACGTTGATGGTTTCTCAATATGCTGTTTCAATTAAAGTCAATCTGTCTAACGATCGATGTTTCCATCAAATATCCTCCCGCCAAGGGAAATCTGATAAACATATTTGTTATGTCAGTAGAATGCATCAGTGATATTGTTCAAAACAAAACAGCATAGGTAAAAACTATAGTTCTAGCCACAAACTTCATGAGTGAAGTTCTTAAAACATTAAAATCATTCTCTGATTACTTATCTCTCACGGTATCGGTATTCACATGATTTACATGTCTAGTAGACACAAGACTGGAAATTTTAAGTTAAAAAATCATGATCGTTAACTTGTGATTAAATAACCAGTGTTTAGGATATTCTCAATGAAATAGTATCAATTCAGAATAGAAATAGGTCAATTAAGTCTTTTTTATTGATTTACAACACTAAAACAACTTTTTCGGAAGAATAATGCGCTGACATACTGATCGTATTTCAGTCAAAATCGTTGATGTAAGACAACGTGTATGTATTGAGAGTTGCGACTGAAAATTGCTGGTTATACTTATGAATATGTTCTCGTTACTAGAGATTTTCAAATAAAATAGGTATTCGAAAATCTATATCGCAGAAAAATCTTTCATGATTCATTCTAGTATCAAACATCGATAAAAACAAGATTAATGAGACAATTTTTATTGGGATCGCTTTTATTGGAGTGCTATCACGAACAACATTTTAAATCATCAAATAAAATAATGTACCGCTTTCAAAGTATAATAAATGTTCTCTCAGAAGTAAGCATCAAGGTCAAAAATGTCGTGCACAGGTGGGTGTTCGTGTAAAGAATTTTCTACTGAATTCAAATCATCTATTTTTTCGTCTTCTGTATGCTCTGCATCATATAGCTGTTTATTAAGCATTTTTGGATTGAATGCGATTGAACCTCGTGGAATAAATGTCGAGACAAAAACCATAATTGATACAATAGTAAATTGAACACCACCTGTATAGAACAGAGCAGGTCTAATAGTTTTCTGAGCATTATAAACACTGTCGATGTAGATTCCAAGCAACGGATTAGCAATAGCATATAGGACGATGTAGGACGAATAGAGAAATGCCATGACAGCACCAAGTGGGGAAATATGACTGTCATGGGATTCCACATTCGTCAATGATGATTGAATATAGGCACCAAGAGAAACGTCGCCAGCAGCCCATCCGAATGAGATTGGAATGAATGTGGCAGCCATAATCCAGGCGTATTTGACTTCATTTACTGTAGGATAGAAAAAAGGAATATACCAAACGATCATTAACAATATTGCATCTAAGCGAAGCCAAGGCATTGGCGTACGGATGGTATTGGCGAAAAGAAAAACGGTTAAAGCGCCGATCAATTCACCGAAATTGGAACCACCTACAATGATTTGTGACCACGCAGAATTTTCCATATATCGTTTTGCTACTTGTGGAGCTATACCATTTTCAAGATAACGATGCGAGTAGAGTGCCACAGAGTAACCACTCCAAAGCCAGATGAATCGTCGTTTGGTAAAAATAATTTTTCCTCCAATATAAACTGATTTTCCGAACAGAAGAAATTTATCCAAGATGGATTTAACATAACCTGATTTATCGTTATTTAAATCTTCTTTTTCAGAAGGATGAGAGGTCTTCAGAGAACTTAGGAAAAACCAAATGATCCCAGCCGCCGTAAAACAAATGGGTGTTATGATAAAGGCATAATTGTTTCCTAGTCGAGGGATCAAACCAAGAGCAGTTGCGAAAGCTCCAGCAGTACCAGATAGTTCATAGAAAATATGAACTACAGAATCCATCCGTTGTAATTTTTCTACATCACCACCAACAATATCTCGTGGAATGATTCGTCGAATCAATTCAACCATTCCATAAACGATTCCAGTGAAACAATAAATTGGAATGATCAAATCTGTATTGTAATGACCATAGTAACTGAAATCATTCGGATGTTGTGGTGTAAAATTTGCTGGTTTTATGTATCCGCCAGTCGCAGCATCTATAATCATTAAAATTGCTGTAAAAATAGCAAAAACGACGATTGATATAGAGAGAATGGTACGTATTGGCCAACGTTTAATTAGCGGTGCTATCAAAATAGAGCCGAAACATTGAAATGCTTGATTAAGACCCGAGAGTAAGCCAACTCGTTCAAATGTTCGCGATGGTGTTTGTGCTTCAAAAGCATCTTGATCATATCGATTTGTCGCTAGTGTAACGACCGCTCCATTGAAAGCTTCCAAGCCGAATTTGTACAGCATAATACCAATGATGTACACAAGTATATTTCGTTTTTCTTTCGCTGAAAATAGTTTCCATACTTGAGAAAATCCAGTTGGTATTAATGGCATATTTATCTGGAAATCAAACAGAAGTTTTCTTTTTTGAAAATTTTCACAAATAAAACAGCTGTTGTCACTAGATTAACATCGATTTATTTTATGTGCTACTTTTCGAAATTTATCAGTTGATTGTTGCAATTGAAATAATCTTTCTAAGCTTCCCATGTATTCAACAAGATGATTAAAAAACATATTGCTTTGATTGTACGCCATGGAGAACACCTGAATTCTTCACCTCTTCCTGCATATTGATTCAAGAAATACCGGCTATCTCACTTAATTTCGAAATCAATATCAATTATTTATCTACCAAGTGCTCCAAAAGCTATATCCACTTAAAGCATTAAAACTTGAGAATATTACTATTTTTTTGTCTAATAAATGTTCAATGATGCTGTTGAAAATTATATTGAGTTTCCAAAAATGGCTAGGCAAGACACTCTTCCAT